TAAAATCACATGTGAAATATGTGACCCATGGACCACAAAACCAGTCATAAGGGTCAATTTTTCGAAATTGAGATTTATCTCAATCATCTGAAAGATGAATAAATAAGCTTTCCATTGATGTATGGTTTGTTAGGATCGGACAATATTTGGCCGAGATACAACTATTTGAAAATCTGGAATCTGAGGGTGCAAAAAAATCTAAATATTGAGAAAATCATCTTTAAAGTTGTTCAAATGAAGTTCTTAGCAATGCATATTACTAATCAAAAATTAAGTTCTGATATATTTACGGTAGGAAATGTACAAAATATATTCATGGAACATGATCTTTACTTAATATCCTAATGATTTTTGGCATAAAAGAAAAATCTATAATTTTGATCCATACAGTGTATTGTTGGCTATTGCTACAAATATACCCCAGCGACTTAAGACTGCTTTTGTGCTGCAGGGTCACATACTGTATGTGAAACTCATGTGCAAGCAGAAATTAAGATCCGCACACGGTTATATGCCGGGCTTGCATCTCCTCCAAAAATCTTTTATTCAATGCTTCATCAGAGGCCATAAAAACAAGTGCAAAAAGTGTACAAAACTCATGTGCAATGCATATGAAACATGTTCATGGTGTGAATGTGTGAAACCCATGTGATCTCATTGGCATCGTGTTGTTCCCCCTCCGGTCAGGTGATGGCGATAGCGACTCTGTCGGCGTGCTACAACAATCCTCAGGTGTTTCAGGGTGTGGTGAAGATCCGGAAGGGTCAGGCGGTGACGCTCATGATGCAGGCCACAAACATGGGCGCAGTCCAGAGCATCATCGCGCAGTACAGTCAGGAGGTGCGTCCTAAAACACGCTCCGCTGTCCTCTGTAGCGCAGCCGTCTGCTCCGCTCATCCTGATCCCTCCTCTCCTCACAGATCCTGCAGAAAGTGTCCGGCGCGGATCCGTCCCGAGAGAAGACGCTGCGCATCCTGAGCCTCATCCGCGAGAAGAGCCTGTCTCCAGCCGCGCTGTCGTCCCGAGCGCACCACATCTCTCCCGTCTACGTCTCGGCCGCCATGCTGTTAGCGGCGCTCAGCTGGCAGTATCTGAACGCCACGAGCGGCCAGCCACCGGGGGGCGCCGACATGCAGCCACACTGAGACACAAAGCAGCCCAGAACTCTCTCTGCCAAACCACAGCACGAGTCTGGGATCTTTAGGGTTCTTTCTGTTTCACTAAAAGTTCTTCAGGTCATTTTCACCCCAAAATCAAATGAGAAAACTATAAGAAATATTAAAAAAAGAAGAAGAAAAAAAAATATATATATATATAATTTTTTTTCATATTTTCTTTCTAGA